AGAGAGAGAGAGAGAGAGAGAGAGAGAGAGAGAGAGAGAGAGAGAGAGGATGAGGCTGAAGCTGTTACAGAGGTAATATTTGTGACAGTGTATTGAACTAAACTCGTTTCAGTAACGGAGATAAGGAAAAGTAAAAGGATACAGAGGCCTGTGTAACTTGGTCTCCACACTGAATGGACTGAGGTCAGGCCACCACTTTGGTTCAAACAAAGGCAGCCACCAAGTAGTCGCATTACTGACAATCACATACCATAACCTAGGATCAAATGGCCCCATTGTGGCACTAATATAAAAAACATGTTGTAGAATGACAAGCGGTGAATGCTTACATGAGATGGGGTCCTCTGTCAATTACAAGACACTCACCATTCAAAAAGAAGAGGAAGAAGAAGAAAAAACATCAAGGCAATTGAATGTGCCATAGAGTGAGGGGTGGACAAGCTGAGTGATTGGAGGACAGGCCGAGGAAAGAAAAGAACAAAATTGCATTCCACAAGCAACTGAGCATGTCTTCAGAGAAATAACGTCTATAGAGGCACAAGAGATGAGAGGAGAAGACGAATAATAATAAACCTCAATTCTGTGTCTGGACTGTGAAATGCTTCTTTTATTGCATGCCTTTTAGTTAAATAGTTTCACAAATCTATGAGATAAAGCAATTACTTTCAAACAAGTCCTGTAGTAACGTATGCATTAAAACATGCTTTAAATACCTTAAAAAGCCATTAATTTTTTGTTGTTTCTTCAATGTAAGCTCATAATGCCACTGAACTCTGACCCTCTGATGGACTCTCCCACTCCCCCCTCCCAAATACACACACACACTGTCACTTTAATCAGTCTGAATAAGCTCTTTTGCACTACAATCATTATATCTGCACTGTTGTTTACTTCACTGGTTTGCACTCTATCTGCCATGCGCCTTGTGCTGCTTTATATATTTTTTTACATTTTACCTTATTTGTATAATTGTATAGTTGTATTTTATATTTAAATCTGTATCTATCTGTATTTATGTTCTACTGTTAGTGTTATCTGTATGCACCAAGGGTCTGAGAGTAACGCAATTTCAATTCTCTGTGTGTATGTGCTGTACATGTGGAAGAATTGACAATAAAGCAGACTTGACTTGACTTGATAATGGTGTAAAATGGCTTTGACCACTAAATAAATGAAAATGCTTCCAAATTATCTATTTTTTTCTAACACTCATTTTTATAATACAAATGAATTTTCTAATTTTTTTTCCCCCTGTGCATGCAACTTATCAAGGAGAGGTTTGAGTAGATTTTGAATGACTAATCTGACTATATTTGGTCATTTTGAAATCTTTTCTTTTTTTATTGAAGTAATCTCATGAGATAGATAACACATTGTTTATATGGAAACCAGGCTGTTTTTTTCCCCCAGATTTTTATTTTTTTAATAAAAATTAAATCATTAGCAATGAAACTCCAATGAATTTCCATGGTGTCATCATCCTTATCATGCTCACCACTGACAAAACCACTATAAGAAAGATGTTATATTGTATATATCTCTTTGTGAACGTATTCTGCATAGTAAATACAATATTTACAAAAATGTGAAAAGTGCATACCAAAATTTTTTTTTACTAGAAATGGGGTCACTGAAAAAGTCCTCAATGCTTGTAATTAACAACAACAACAAAAAACTACCAAAAGATATTTTTATATTAGATTACATTCTTTACAATGTAATGCCCATATGCATCCCCAAATATTATGCATCTTGAATTTGCTTTTGGAAGAAAAGGAAGAATTTTTGTTCCCTTTCCTTTCTTTTCAGAATGTTTTTATTTTTCGTAAGTTAATATTTCAATTGATTCCATAATTAATATATATATAGCCAAAAATCATCATCATCAACAGTAAAAGAAAAAAAAAACAGTAGAAGCTCCAGCAACTGTTCATACAGTCTGAATGAAAGGCACCACAGAAAACCGGATGGCTCACTGGCTCTAGTCCTTCACTACACTGCGCACAGTGGATCACGTGACTCTACTGGTTGTGATGTCTTCTTTCGCTTACTGTCTGTGACTACGCGCTTTGAGAAAAACATGGGCTTCTGCGTACTGTGGAGTCAAACCGACGAGTGTCCTCTCAATATTACCCTTCATATTAGTGGAGGCAGACACAGCGTGACAAAGAAAAGAGGCGCTGATCTGGAGAAGAAGCCGCGATGTTTCTGTTTCAGTTACCCGAGGATGTGCTCTTCCTCGTCCTGTCCTACCTGGATCCCAGATCGCTTTGCCGCCTCTCTCAAGCGTGCAAGAGAAGCTACATGTTCATCTCCAGAGACGCTGTTTGGAGGAAAATAGCTAAAGACATTATTAACACTGGCTTGACACGACAAGGAATAGATTTGTAAGGATTTTGAGATACACTAGCTGTGTTGCTAGCTAATTGTTCTACGCATAGAATAACAGAACTACGTAGACTGCGTAGGGCAACGGGTATTCACAGCAGTCGTGACGTAATAGAAACTGCGTACGTTGAAATTCAGTTCCGTTCTTACGCTGATAGTCACGTGGATGTTGTTTACAGGCGCAACTAGTACGTGAGCGGTACCTCAAGACAATAAATTGGAAAAGTAGGCCTAATATCTATAAGCAGATGAATAGGATGTTGGATTATAGTCAATCTGTTTTTTCTTCGTATTAATTTTTAGATTAGACCAAACTGAACTATCACTTCAGTCACTTTCCACGAATACGAAGTGTGCATTTTGTGAGGACTAATATCGATATGTCTTAAATTTCGCATGCAACCTGTTACCATATAATTCTCTTCGTTTATTATTACAAAAATGTAAGATAAAGTTCTTAAAATGTTACACTTCCACCGACCCAAAAATATAATAATAATAATAAATTGTATTGTCTTAATTTTTACAGAAATATTAATGTTGGGTTTATTTGTCAAGCTCAAAGCTCAAACATTCCACAAAAAAAAGTATTTTAATTATTTATGGAAAATATAGGTTTATGTCATTCATGATGATTTAATGTTTTTGCTTTAAAATGGCTAAATCACACAAATCAGGGTTTTAAACTGGGTGTAGACGTTACTCCCAAACTTTGATGGCAGGGTTGGTAAGATTTCAAACCCCACAGCAAATAAATAGAAAATGAAAAAACTGTATTTAGTTTGATTGAGATTGTGTTCCGAAGGTTAAGCAGAAGGTTAACCACCTTTTAATGACCATTTGTTTTAAAAAAGTACAAGTTTCAGATCCTGTGCTGCTGTGTCCTTTTTGTGGAAAATGTCAAGTCATGAACATTTGCATTATAAGCTCACTTACACCAGCCAAAATGATTACAATATTTTTCATACTGTATTGTAATCACAAATGACACACAAACAAATAGGCTGACAGATCTGTTTATTTTTAAGTTTATGATATAAGAATTTATATGCCTAAAGTAAGTGTGCATATCTGCTAAATAGTCTTCACTGTCTGCTGGAAGGAAAGACCTATAAAGAAACTGCATGTAATTTCAGGCGCATTTTAGTCTGCTTCTAAAGGGGGGCCTGAATACAGCATTTCCTTTATTTTGCCATTTATCTAAAGTAAGCTCAAATAATCTCAACCATCAGTCCCCTGATCATTCTCCAATTTTTTCAGGTGTCCTTCTATTCCTCTTAAGGACAGAGTGAGGGTGTCCCACAACTGGATCCATGGAGTCTGTCGAAAAGAAGTCCTTTTAAAATGGAGAATTAAGTGAGTTATTATTTTATATTGTTTATATATAAGTAATTTATATACACTCTATTTACTTTGGCTGTATCAAAATTGGAAGCATAAATAACTTGAATTTTCTATAAAATAACTAGCCACATGCAGATGCAAAAGTACAATTGCTTGAACGAGTAAAATAAAATGGTTATAATGTGACCCACCCTGTACTTCGAAAGCGAGAAGGGAAAAAAGGAATTTAAAAGTAAGTTGGAAGATGTCATACTTTCATTGTCCAACCCCAGAATACATATTTTTCATACATTTATCCTCTGACTTAGGGTGTGTAGTTGACCTTGCCAATATGGACAAGACATTATTGTGTTTTTTTGTTAGCCTCCTCGTCACCTTAAGCCCCAAGATACAGATTGGACTACAGAATAAACGTGTAGGAGTAATTTCCATTCCTTGATTGTTCGCCCACAGCTTGCTGCCATGGATACAGCTGGACTGTGATGTGCTGTATCTCTCTCAGGCAGCAAATATCAGTGCGTACCATCTGAGAGCTGACGGGGGAAAGTTACAGAACAGTCGAGTGGCCCTGTTCTCCGGACACCAAGAAGACGTGTGCAGATTCACTCTGACAGACACACACCTTATCAGTGCAGGAGGGTAAATCCACGTTCACTGCTTAAAGATCTTTATAATCGTTTAGTCTTTTTTTATTTTTTATTATTATAATTATCAAGTCAGCAAACATATGAACAGATTTGATAAGGAATCACATCTTCAAATCTTATAATATGGTTGCTGTGTTGATTATTATAATAAAGTAAAATAATATTTACACTTTTTAAAAAAAAAATTGAAATTGATGTAATTTCCATTAGCACACAAAGTCTATCGGCCACTAGTATTCTTCGGTTGAATGGTGAAACAGGAATGTGCTAGTTTTCCTTCTTTTTTGTTATTGGGCCACTAGGTATTTCCTACATTTAAACATAGTAAAATATTAACTACAGTAGTTCAGCCATGCAGTGATTCCACACTTAGTGGTTTGATTGTTTGGGATAGTTTGCTTTAAAACACATAACTCTAATTATAATAATAATAATAATGCATTTTATTTATAGGTGCCTTTCAAATCACTCACAGACAGCTTACAAACAGTCATAAAATACAGTACTGAACAATACACATACAGTGAACAGCAAAGCTTTTTTATTATATCTCATTGATGTTTATTTGCTATAATGCCCTTCTTTAATTAAACAAAAAATGTATGTAGTATTGCTACCAATCATTACTCTGTTTGTCTGTTTTTCCAGTGATGGTAAAATAATTGTTCATGACAGAGGAAGTGATTACTCTGTGGAGTATTATGGTCACAATCAGGAGGTGAACTGCATTGACTCTAAAGGGGGTGTGATAGTCAGTGGCTCCAGAGACAAGACCGCAAAGGTGAGATTGTGCACTGTATGTTCTTCTCTTGCTTTAATTTAAGTAAATATATAGCTATGTCCATGACTAGGTGTCTTGCATTAAATTCCACACAGTGAGTGAAAAGAAAAAAAGTGAATTTTGAAAGTTACATGTCCAGTGTTGAGAAGAATTTTGTTACAGGAGACAGTTAGTATGCAATAGTGGGAAGTAAATCTTTTTTTTTATCACAAAGCCCGGAAAACAAACGCTGTAGTCCAAACGAGCCGTTCATTGTAGTTCTTGAAAAGGGATTTTTTTAAAACGAAATATCTCCCTTTGGAGTGGACTTTGAGATTTGTAACTTTCTAGATCTTTTTTATGCCCAAACATACACACTACACACTGACTAAAGTTAAAAAAGTGAAAAAGCATAATAGGACCCCTTTAAATCTGTCAATTTGGAACCAGTTTGGTATGATGTCATAGAATCATCCCGTCATCCTAGCAATGCTATGCACTTATTTTTGAGAAACACCTTGGAAAGACATCAGGAATTCATGCTTCCTATAGAAGCAATGCATTTTTACAACTGGTTGACTTTAAACATTTACTCCTTTTGTTATTCAAAATACACTACCATTCAAAAGTTTGGGGTCATTGTTTTTTTTTTTAATGTGAAAGAAGTCTCTCATGCTTTGAATGTCTCTGAATTTATGTGATCAAAAAAAAAAACTGTAATATTATAAAATGTTGTTACAATTTAAAATAATTTATTTCCATTGTTATATATTTTAAAATGTAATTTATTACTGTGATGCCAAAGCTACATTTTATTCAAACATTTCTTATTATTATCAATGTTGAAAACATTTGTGCTGGTTCATATTTTTGTGGAAACCGTGATATATATATTTTTTATATATATTTAGAAAGTTCAAAATAACTCATGACAACTCTCGGAACATTTTAGCATGGTGATGGATATGACAGTGTTAATGTATTTGGTCTTGGCAGAACAGATCTGCTACGCTGCTGCTGAATTGCTGCTGCTGTTGGTTATTGCTGTAGTTATAGATTATTGCTGCTGCCAATGTATATGGCGATACGGTGCCGTGAGTATTTAAGACATACTGCTGCTGCACAAATAGCATATAAAATAACCCCGTAGCAGATCTATACAGGTGGAGCTGGGGAAGGTGGAGGATTTCAGAGAACTCTGAAAGCGCGCTGCAGGAATCTCAAGTGAATGCTAGCCAGCCATATAAATGCAAGGCAGTGAGCTCATTGGCTGTATATGCAGCACGAACCAATCAGCTTATGCCAAGTCATTTAACTCTCTGAATATCATCAGTTACGTTAACACACCGTCAGCCTGCGCCATCTAGAGTTTCATGACTGAACTATATATTTATTTGAAATTTACTTTTTTGTAACAAAGTAAAACTGTAACTTTTGATCAGTTTAATGAATCTTTTCTGGAAAAAATTATTAATTTCTTTTTTTTAAAAAGCATACGGGAGTGTTAGTTAATGTCTAAATGACTTGTGATTTTTGTACTGTTTGTAATTTCATTTTAGATTTGGGCTCTGACTCCTGATCGATTTGGACAGTGCTTACATACAATCCCCACATATGACAGAGTGTGGTCGGTGGCCATCAGTCCATCTCTATGGTAAGTCTGTACTCATGATTCAGTTGTGCCATGAGATTTGTCTAGTCTTTGTGGTTAAGAGTCTTAATAAGGCTTAGAATATAGTCTACCAAAGACCTTTCTTCCAGTGTTTGATTAATTAAGTGCCGTCAGTCCCTGATTTTGGATATTAGATAAAGTCATGTCGTTCCAAACTTGAATGACTTACTTTCTTCTGTGGAACACAAACTCTTGGTAACCAAACAGACATTTCTCAAAATATCTTCTTTTATGTTCCACAGAAGAAAGTCATACTGGTTTGAAACGACAGGTAAATTATTCTGTGACAGCAAATATACAGTGGCCTGAGACCAATTTAAAATCTGGGATTCAAAATCTAATTTAAACCTGGAAATAAACAGAAAAAAATTTAATAATTTCAATCAAGAAACATTGATGAACACAGAAATAGGATATAGATATTCTTCCGCACAATTTCTAGGTCAAATACAGCCATCAGATACAGATTTTCAAAATGAAAAATGTTGATAGTTCAATTAAACTTTTCTGTCAAATTGTTGTGCAAAATAGAAGCATTTTCCCTAGCAGATTCAGATTTTTGAACAGTGTATTTCTTTCTACTGTATCCGTGATGCTCTTCCAGTTTTTAGGCCGTCCCTTTGTTAGACAGTGTGTGTTTGATTCTGCCACTTACTTCATACTTACTGATTTCCTCTGTTCTTCTCACTATATGAATCACCAACAGACCTGAACATCAACCTTAGCTTTCATCAAAGAGAATTTGAGATCTTTCAAATAATGAATGTATCAGTGGGTTTAAAAGAGCGAGGTGGGGGTGGCGGCATCGTTACGGCTCGTGAGGTGAAGTGGTCATAGACAGGGCAACCCAAAGCAGGTGGCCAGACCCTTTTTTAATACATACTCTTCAATTTATTGCCATGCCATTGCTTTGAAGTAAATTAGTTCACACCTCTGAAATGCAGATGGAGAAGAATGTGATCCCGGCCCCTAAAGGCTTAGAAAGCAGAATTTTGCCCTCTTATGGTGTGAAAAAAGACCCATTTTGTGGTTCTATAATTCTCAAATGTAACCTACAATGTTTTTCCCGCTTCTTAACTCTCACCAGGACAGTGACGATACATCATTGAATGTTTCTTTGTGTTTCTTGACTTTTTAAACACAGAAATGTGTTGAACCATTCAGTTGATAAATCGTTACAGGCTTTTGGACTTTAGCAAGCTGTTTCAGTCTACAACTGGTTAACCGTTTCTCCCTCAATACATCTGGGAAGTTTCCCGATGTGATGAGCTGTTTAAACAAGTGTGGGATGGAGTGAGACAGGCGAAGAGGGAGAGAGAGGAAAAAACCGTGCAGGATATTATGGTGAAGCGGGGTTGCCTTTGCTCCTGCTGCCTTTGATTGCTCGGCCATGTATACTCCCACACGTTTAATGACACGCAGGCACATAAAGCTGTAACACTAGCGCAGAGCCTCCACCTGCCCCTGGTCCGTCAAATGCACCTTCACAGCACTGCTGGAAGAATGGAAACACTGTGCGCCGGGAGACACTAAAGGACACGTTCTCATCTTTTGTCACGACAAGGCCAGCGTGTAGCTGAAGAAAGCCACTGCTACTTGAGCAGATGCAATGGTTCAACACAGTTTTAGTCACTCAGCCGAGTCATTAATCCCCGCAGCCCCGTCTCCACAGCAAAGAATTTAGATTTTAAAGAAAGAGACGATTATCCACATCATTAATTCTCCAATTTGATGGCTGAAATAGCAGGCCTCTGAAACCGATCGCTGGACCCAGATAATGGACCAAACTTCACACATTGACAGTGGGAGAAGTTGATGAAACTGATTTGAAATAAAGATTTGCACCGAACCCATTCCTAAAAAATATAGACAACTGTAAATTTTCATGTATAGAGATTTATTTATACTGTAAAAATTAAAAGGATTGTGAATGTCTTGCAAATACGCTACCATTCATAAGACATTAATGTTTGTATTTAGCAAGGATGCATTAAATTGACCAACAGTGATAGTAAAGACATTTATAATGTTACCAAAGATTCCTATTTCAGATAAATGCTGTTCCCTGGAATTTTCTATTTGTCAATGAATCCTGAAGAAAAAAAAATTGTTTCCCACAATAATATTAAGCAGCACAACCATTTTTCAACATTGATAATAATTTCTGAAAGATCATGTGACACTAAAGGCTGGAGTAATGAAAGGTCTGCTTTGCCATCACAGGAATAAATTAAATTTTGTAAAAAAAATCACAATATTACAGTTTTTGCTGTATTTTAGTTAAATAGATGCAGTCTTGGTGAGCATAAGAGACTTCTTTCAAAAAAATGAAAAAGTAAAAATGTAATTATTTATTACAGTATTTATTTAGCTTTTTTCATATTTTATAACTTACAACTTTTAAGATTTATTATAATATAAATATTTATTTATTCTGAGCTTTTCAGCAGTATGAATCTCTGAACTAACATATAATCAGACATTTAAAACATATTTCTCTGTGGTTCTGGAAGCACAAACCCATTGTAAGAAAGAATTTCCACTTCCATTAATGGATTTTGAATAACTTAGTAAAACTGACATTTGCTCAGGCTCTGATTTGTATTTATTTCTTTTTTAACCTCCCTTCTCGTCTGTTCCGTAACCCTCCCTCCCTTTTGCTGTCGTTTTTTTCCAAGGAACGTTATCTGAAGGTCTGTTAGTGGGATGCCAAATGCCAAGGCTGACTGTCGTCTATCTTTTTGCAGGCACTGATCCTAACCATATCCAGTGGCCCTTGTCCTATTTCTGAGATTGCTTTTTACAATTTTAGGCACCTGGGTTTTTCTCTGCATTTTATCCTTTCATATTGGACCATCTTCTCAGGTTTTTCACTAGTTATATCAGAGCGTAATGTGTGCAAGCGGTGGACAGGACCGGCCCTGTGCAGCTTTGAAGAACTCCACGGTGACTGCATGACTTTCACAGCTGATGTTGCAATGTGAACGCTAGCTCTGAAATTCCCTAAATGGTGTCATATGGCTAGCAGTCCCATCCTTAACTGTGAGACCGCTCCAAAAAAAAAGGCCCCTCTCCCATCGCGAAGGTAATGGGCACTCTGGCTCCCTGCACAGTGGGTTGCTCTTCTGTTCTTCCATTTACAATCTCATATCAAAGAGACAGAAGCGGCCATGTTGAAGGGGGAAAAAAATGGTATTCACAGCAGCCCAAATGATTCCTGATTCTTGATCTGTAACCCGTGAGCTTGACTGACTCACCCCCCCAATTCCCCCATCTCAGTCTAGTCTTTGTCTGCCATGTCAGACTTCAGACTCTCACCCCAAATGTTGATTCATCTGCTTCTCTGCGAGGAAGGGCCCTGATTGCTACTAATGGCCTCTGATTATCATACATTTCTTCTTGAGGACACTGTTTTAGGACCTGGAATGACTTGTTCAGTTGGTAATGTGGCTCTCAGAGGAGAAAGCTACTCTTTTTTTGTTGTTGTTGTTTTGTTTTTTTACTCAACTTTCAGTTGCTGTAATTGGAGCTAAAATTGGTTGACAGTTTACATGGCAATTACCCTGCATGCTCTCTTTCATAACCACCATATGTACTGTAGACTTCTTAGCTCTTGCTTATTCCCTAATCACACAATTTGCGGTCTTATGGATTATTAGAAAAATAAAGTATTTTATTTCCTTATTCCACCAGAGATACTCCCATGTTCATGTTCATATTTGCATGTGAAATCTGGGTGAAATGGATGAAGGCAATACAATGGCAAATAAATTACTTTTCCTTACAAATTTCATTGCTTAATGACATGATCAACTAATTGTCTTTCAAGAAATTATTTTACTGTTCAAAATTATAACTACCGTTAAAAAGTTTGGGGTCAGAAAGATTGAAAGAAATTAATGCCTTTTTTTCTGCAGTAAATTGATCAGTCGTGACAGTAAAGACATTTATTATTTTACAAAATAGTAAATGCTGTTCTTTTGAATTTTCTATTCATCCAATCCTTAAAAATGAATCATTGTTTCCACAAAAATATTAAGCAGTTATTAAGCAATATTAACTATTACATTTTGAACTATATAAAAAATAGAAAACAGTTATTCAATATTGTTAATAATATTTCACAATATTACTATATGTTTGACCAAATTAATGTAGCCTTGGTGAACATAATACACTTTCAAAAACAAAAAAAATGTATTTACATTAATTTATTTTTTATTGTAATATTTGACTCTTTATTATTTTATTACAGTTTTAATGTATTTTTATTAAACAATTTCACCTAAATATTGCAGGCACTGGACATTGAATATCTAATATCCTTCAGACATGCCGTTCTTCACTCCTTGTGTCTGTCTGACCCATCCCATTTAAAGGTCTTTGTCGTTCCCTTTTTACCACTAGATGTAGAATTAGTAGGAAGCACATCTTGTGATAAATAGTTTCCTGTAGTGTCAGACATGACAGATTTTAACCGACAAGATGGGACTTGTTGAGTCTGGAAGAATCCATCCAGGCCTGGGTAACTCTAGCCAGAGTATATGTAAGGTACGTCGGCTACTCTTTCTCTTGCATTTATCGCACACACATGCAGCACAGAGTCTGTCAGTTAGTTCATTAAGCTTGTTTGATATAAACTGGGGTTTGGGTTTGCCTGTTTTTAGCTTGATGTCAGCACTTCACTTGCAGAGAATGTAGAAACGATGTGTAATTGTTAGCCTGAAATGTGTAATTTGGTCTTGTTAATTCCACATGCACATCTCTCTCGCAGATCTTAAGAGAATTATGTTCATTTAGATTTTCGGACATTGTTTAATTATAGTTTAGATGAAGTGGCCTCACTTGGATGATCAAATGAGCTTTTCCTCATTGGCTAATACAAATTGCGCATATATTTGTATCTGTTCATCACCCAGGGAGTTTTTAAACACGGCTAATCAATGTTTTATGCAGGGAATCTAAACACAGATAGCAGATAT